ACTTCGGGAAAGACTTCAGGATTATTTTCTCAATGAGTCCTATGTGACCTCCATATTTAAAATTATAACTCATTCTGTCTAATTCTTTTAAACTCTATTTTGCACATTTTTTTCGTTCCTGCTCTTGTTTTCCTTTCACTTCCTTTTGAAGTGCTACCAGCTCATGTTTGATCAGTTGTCTCACTTTCTCTCACATGAGCTACATACAATAGGTGTACTAGAGTGCAGTTTCCTGGCTGGAAGGAGTTTGATGGTTCAGGTTGAGTGAGTGAATTGCTTTAGCCTTTACTTCTCCCAAGCCCAAAACTAGGCAGCTGGAAGGCTGCCTGTCAGTGCAGTCTTCCCTCCGTGTTCACTGGCAGACTGCTTCCTGCAAATACATGAATTGTCCCCATCTTCATTCAGCTCTGTCTTCCACATGCTGAACCTCTGGTTAGGGTTTGGCTTTGTGACCCCCTCCCCCAAGCCCTTTAACTTGGAGTGTTTAACTTGGAGTCATTTGAGATCTGCAACCCCTTCTGCCAGCTTTCCTACTAACCCTCACTGCCTTGATACCACTTCCATGTGCTTTATGTGGTTTTGAGTTTGAGATGTCTCCTTGTTTTGCAAAGGTGGGGTTTTCATTTCTGTTCCACAGTGGCCTTATTACTACTAAGTAGTTTCTAAGAGAAAGGAGGAATGCCTATAGTATCTACCCTTCTCAAGCCAGAGTTGCCAACTGATTTTCTATAAATTAGGGTTTTACTATTAGCAAAAACCAAGTCAGAAGTTCCAGCTATTAAAAGGTTTTCATACTTGGCATAAACATAGTGATTTTTTTCTAAGACTTGTTTAAAAATATTCTTGTTGTATGAGAGGGACTCATTAGATAACCTCTAGGTCCCCTTCAGCTTGGGAAATTTCATGATTCTACATAACACACCCAACTTACTTCAATGAATGCAGAGAACCCATTATTTTCTATGGCAAAATTAAGTGCTTATAAAAAAAAAGTTACAAAATGGTAACTGTCGGCTGGGCACGGTGGCTCACGCCTGTAATCCCAGCACTTTGGGAGGCTGAGGCGGGTGGATCACGAGGTCAAGAGATCGAGACCATCCTGGTCAACATGGTGAAACCCCGTCTCTACTAAAAATACAAAAAATTAGCTGGGTACGGTGGCGCATGCCTGTAATCCCAGCTACTCAGGAGGCTGAGGCAGAATTGCCTGAACCCAGGAGGCGGAGGTTGCGGTGAGCCGAGCTAGAGCCATTGCACTCCAGCCTGGGTAACAAGAGTGAAACTCCGTCTCAAAAAAAAAATGGTAACTGTCTCCTTCAGAATATTATACAGAGTTCAGTGCTTAAGAAACACGTTTTGAATTAAACTGACCATACTGGTTATTTTCTGTTTGCCCACACGTACCCTCTACCCTTCTCCATCCTCCTCTATGCTTTGGGAGGCTGGCCTCTATGGATGCGTCAATAGGCTTCCTTGTCCTCTGGTCCCTGATTGGGCACAGTTAATGGGGCCACTGACAGGCGACTAGAGAGAGGTAAGAGAGTGAGGTCAGAGTATTTGTTCCTTGGCTCTCTCTGTGCTGAGTCATGGTGAGTTGGCCATGTCCCTCAATGGAAGGCCACAGCTTCAGTTAGGCAGCCTTCTCCATAACAGTGGCCTTCAGGCCTAGAATGGCAATGACTCAGTGATTACTAGCTTCAGGGTGCACCACCAACCCTCATGGTTTCCCTAAACTTTGTCACACATTTGTGAATAGTCTCTTTTTAAAACTCCACTCAAATTACCAAATTGGAGTATGCCATCTGCTTCCTGCCAGGACTGTGACTGATGCATTGGACATGTTTTGCTGCCCTAAATATATTCCAGCATCTCCATGCAGCACTATACAGTTTCTATAATAGACTTGACTGCCATCCTAAACTCTTCCCAACATGACTCAGATTTTAATGGAGGTAATTCATGATTTGATTTTTCATGTTTGGACAGCCTTCATAACGCAGCTATGACATAATGAAAATAGCTTAGATGTGAACACTTAGCTTCTAGCAGGAAATGAATAAAAAATCTATATAAAGAGCAGGGGTGGTAAAGAGAATAAATATTCTGATTATAAAAATTTCTATTTCAATATAACAGCAACCTTTAGATAAAATCAATTATAGTCAGGTATTTTGCAACATGTTTAAAATGGCTCAGCATTTCAAGAAGAAATAAAATGAAAAGAAAAATTATATTTTTGCTGAAGGCATTTTTGATGTTTTCTATTTTGAAATAAAAAACAAACGAGAAATTTATTTTCATGTATTAAAAGACCTATCTTATCCTCCTGGAAAGAAATATTAGGTTGGTGCACAAGTTATTGAGGTTTTTGCCATTACTCTCAATGGCAAGTATTACGTTGTAATGGAAATGTTACGTTGGTGCAAAAGTTATTGCGGTTTTGCCATTGAGTCACAGTAAAAACCGCAATAACTTTTGCACCAACATAAACTGTTTCCATCCTCCCTGTAGTGTCGAATACAAGTTAGAGTGGATGAAATACCATATAGATATTTTGAATATCTTGGGAAAAGTGTTGTTTTATTTCCACTGTGTTTTTCCTAGAAACCTACAACATAATTACCATTTGACATCTGCCAAATGGCCAAGGACAGAATTTAGCTCACAGTGCGATTTCAGTTTCTTTTCTTAGCAGGGAAGAGGCTAAATGGCTAATGGATCTTTTCTGTGTCTTCTATGTGTCTAATACACTCCTAGAATAAAGCCATTGAAATAATTGAATTCCTTTATGAAATTACTCAACTGAGGAGAATTGCTGATTCTAAATTTAGATTTTGATGAATATAGGTATTTTAACTATCAGAATCTGCATCATTAGTGTCAAGAACTACAAAGGGGTTGAAATTTTACCACATGTATGAGCTAATAATAAGGTAGCCTGTCACAGTTTCATGGTTGTTGACAGAAGACACAAGACTCCTGGGTCAGAGACAAAGGACATTATTACTCATTGTGTAGCAGTCAGCGTGGCCTTCATGCTTGTGTCAGTTCTCCTTACTCCCCAAGTCCCATGGGAACATTTACACAATCAATGAATTTGCATCATAGCTAAAAAACTCATACTTTTAACCTTGGTCTTTTCAAGGGACTGTTAGCAAATCTGCTTAACCTGAGGGAAACATTATCTTTCTTACCCTGGACAGCAAAAAAAAAATTCTGCCCTCTCTTTGTGGGTAAAAACTATCTTCAATGCTGTTTGCTGTACAAACATCTTCCAAAAGATATTTAATTATTTGAAACAAAGGATGTCAGTGTCTTTACTCAGAAGATGGGCAGACACATAAAAGACTCATGTAGAATTATCTCCTAACAATTAGAAGTAGCCTTGCCACCAGCACAACTCATGAGTTTTCCTAGCAGAAATATATTCTACAGACTACACAGGTAGCTGATCTTCAGAGTTATACAACTTAGTAAAAGAAAGATTGCTAGATTTCCTTTTTTACATGTCTTTCAATAATTAAAAAAAATTAAGATAGGTGTAATACAGGCACTTAGTATAAACGTAAAAAACTATGAAGAGTGTAGGCAGTTAAAAGCACATGTCTTTCCCTGTCTCCTAACCACCCAGTCTTTCTCCCCAGAGTAAACAAGCTTATTTTGGATGTCCTGGATATATATACTATGTATATATAAATGTTACATATGATACAGATTTCATACATGTTGGGGCAGTGGTATGCGTATGCATACTCCTGTCTTCCCCCTACCTGAAATTCTTGTCCTACACACATCTCTACCCTCCAGAAGCAATTAATATTAAGGCAGGTGAAACATCTAAAACAAGAAGCACTTCAGTTTCATCCAGTGGCTTTCGAATTCTTGCATTTCTTTGGTGACCCATCTGGTAACCACCTGGAAGACTTAAGGATAGGTATATCATGATCCTTGCCCTCACTGAGCTCACACTTGTGTAGGGGAGTAAGGAATCTATACACATAAATATAAAATAAAGAATGGCAATCAGAGGAGGGCACAGGCAATCAGAGGAGAGATAAACTACTTGAAGCTAGAGGGTCTCATGAGAAGATTGATGACAGATGTTGTATGTAAGCTGGTCTGATGAAAGGAGATGTGGTCCTGTGGCATGTGTGAGTTAAGTAGCAGGTGGGAAGTGGGGTAGACAGGCATTCCAGAAAGAAGGAAGACATGAGCAGATACATAGAGGGAGGAAAGCATAGCGTGGACTAGGGACACAAGGAACAGTCCACGGAGCTGGGGCAGAAGAATGATGAGGAGAGGAGGAAGGGAGGATCATTGATGCAAAAGTGCCTCAAATGCAATGCTACCGCCATCTGTTTTTCTTCAGAATATGTGCAGTAACATGATCTTCTTTGGTCCTATTGCAAAAGAACAAGGATACGGAGCCCACATGTAATAGCCTGCATGTCATTTAGGACACTTGCTGCTGGAATCCATCTCCTCAAGCACAGAGAGCAAGATATTCAGACCTAAATTTGAGTGCCAGAACCCTCTGTGATGTCAAATGCTAATCATCTGAACTCTGGATCACCCTCAACTACACTTCAAGTCCTTGTTCATGTATCCTAGACTTAAATAAAAATCCCTCTATGTGGCTGTATAACCTATAGATATTACACTGCTATTCAAGTGTTCTCTAGTAAACACAAGTTCATGGCTGAAGATGAATTTTGATTTTTATAAAGTAAATGTAGTCCTTTAGTCTATGTGATGAAAAAGACAACGGTAATGTTTTAAGAGTCTTTGACTTGATCCAACATTATAGTTTTGGTTTCTTCAGTTTGTATAATTTGGTAAGCTCTGGTATCTTCTCTTTGAGTGGTCCAGTGTGAGAGAGGTTAGCACTTTTATATGGTGAATCCTTAACAAGTACACAAAAAATAAACAAAAAAGATAAACAAAAAACAGAGTGGTCCTAGTGTGGGTTTCCCCAGAAGCAACCCTAAGACAAAGATTCTAGAGCAAGCTGTTTATTTGAAAGGAAAGCCCAGGAGACACAGGTAGGGCAATGAAGAAGGGAGATGGAAAGGAAGGCAGCCAGTGAAGGCTATGTTTTCAAGAAGGCTGCTATTGTGGTTGATTCCAGCAACCAGCATAGGAGACACCTGCACATCAGTGTCAGCGAGGAGCTGGCTGAGGACTGCTGGCCAAGGGAAATTAATTTTCTGGCACTTCTGGTGACCATTTCTGTGAGTAGCAAGGACTCCTGCCACCAGAAAAGCCCTCAGGCAAGGAGATGCACATACTGGCAGCTGACATCAGGTTAGGTGAAGAGTCCAGAGAGGATAAGAGAAGGACTCTGGCAGCATCTGCTACAAAGGTCATTTCAGGGCCCAGAGAGTCTTTTGGCTCATATTTCACATTCACAAGTTTAAACTGAAACATCATCTCTGAGGGTACAGAAGTAGTTACAGAGATATACAAAGAGAATTGAAAGAAGACATCCTTCAAAGTAACTTTAAACTTGTGTCTCATTAACAGACCACAGTAGTAATGACTATATACAATGAACTTAATGTCGCTCACAAATCCTTTATCTTATAATTCATATCATTATATTGTCTTATATTTCTGTGTTTAATAAACATACTTTGTTAAATGTGGATGTTGAAAGTATTTAACACTTAAATTTTTTATAACCCTGAGTTGGTATTTCTTTATTTTTTAAATATATTGAGAGTCTCAAAAACTGAAAAACACCTGGTCTTTGTCACCATTAAAAAGGCCCCATTTAGCTTGGTGCAGTGGCTCAGGCCTATAATCCCAGCACTTTGGGAGGCCAAGACAGGTGGATCCTTGGGCCCAGGAATTCAAAACCAGCCTGGGCAAAATGGTGAGACTCTGTCTCTACAAATAAATAAATAAAAGTTAGCCAGGCAGGTGTGGTGGTGCATGCCTGTAGTCCCAGCTAGCAGGAAGGCTGTGGTAGGAGAATGAGTTGAGCCTGGAAGGTGGAGGCTGAAGTGAGCTGTGATCACAACACTGTACTCCAGCCTGGGTGACAGAGTGAGACTCTGTCTCAGAAAATCAAACAAAAGGCCGGGGGCTGTGACTCACACCTATAATCCCAGCACTTTTGGAGGCCAAGGCAGGTGGATCACCTAAGTTGGGAGTTCAAGACCAGCCTGGCCAACATCGTGAAACCCAATCTCTACTAAAAATACAAAAATTAGCCAGACATGGAGGGGCATGCTGTAATCCCAGCTACTCAGGAGGCTGAGGGAGGAGAATCGCTTGAACCCAGAAAGTGGAGGCTGCAGTGAGCCGAGATCGTGCCACTGCACTCTAGCCTGAGCAACAGAGCAAGACTCCATCTCAAAACAAACAAACAAACAAATAACCCAATTAAAAACAATAGGATCACGAAGAATTAGGGCCGAAATCTAGAAGAAACATAGAAGAGCCCAAGAGACAGCGTCAGGGCGTTTCGTTCTCATCTACCAGATGAAAGAGCAGCAGGGTAGTGCACTCTGTGCCTGAACTGAGCTGTTTCTTCTTGTGCATCACAGCACTCTGTGCACAGAAATGGAGAATGATGCCCAGAAACTCCATTCTGTAGAACTAAGCAGATTGTTCCAGTTGATCCATGAACCTCTCTCAAATCTTGCTTTTTATCTCTTGTCTTAATGGAAACAATTTATGAGGCAAAAAGTAACAATTGTTGGAGGATAAATCAGAAAGTTGTCATTTTCTCTTTTAGAACTAGTGGGATTTACTACCTGTTTTGAAAACAGTATAAGAATATCCTGGGCAGCAATGAATGACTAATCATAAAAATATCCAAAGCAGAATTCCATCAAGTTTTAAAAATTGTTTCCTTGATAAAGCATAAAGAAAATGTGCACATTTATCTTCAAATACAAGCAGATTAAACTGAGATACTTTGTTTAATTGAACTATAAGTTAAAAATTCTAAATGAGATCATCTTGTGAAAACCCAAGCTCTACATTTTTCTTCTTGAAAATGTGTCTTTCCAGACTGAAACGTTTAAATGGTCATTGGCTAACCAGGCTATAAACTACTATTTATAAGGATAACCTTCCAATTTGCATCATAATTGAAGAGATGAATATTTTTCACAAGAAATAGATATTTTTGTTGAAATTATGCGATTTATATGAATCCTCTTGATCACAATTTACAAAAAGTTAAGAAGAGAAGCTTTTTTGAGATGCTTTTATGGTGTTAATAAAAATAATACTGATTGGAAAATTTTGATCATAATGACCCCTATTAAAGCATGTGTCATTTTAATGGGATTTTTAGTCTTCAAAATCAAGCAATAAATGCATGTAATATTGGATATTTAGTCTGCTTAATGGGATATATAGATGGAATATTGTGACAAATATTTTTCTACCTATTTGTGAAAAATGAAATGTTTATCAAAATTAAGTATTTGTTAAAGGGTAAAAATACTTTATCTCACAAGTAGCCAGAGATCAGCTAGAGGTTTGTGAAACTGTGGTCAAGGGCCTGATTCCCAGCATGCACTAGGCAGGAAGTTACACACCTAGTGTATGGTGAGATAAGGTGTCTCCATAGGAGTGTGAAGTTGCACAACAGCACCATCAAGTGAAGGGTGAGAAAGGTGAGTCTCAACAACTATTAATACTTCAGGTAGGTACTACTCCTGTTGAACAAATTGCTCCAGATATAGCAGCCTAAAACCACAGTCATTATGTTACTCAATTTCTGGCAGTCAGGAATGTGGGAGTGGCTTAGCTGCGTGGTTCTGGTTCAGAATCACTCCAGAGGTTGTGGTCAAGATGTCTCTGCAGTCATCTGAAGGCTTGACTCAGGCTGGAGGATCTGCCTGTAAGGTGGCTCCTTCCCAAGACTGCAGGCAGTCTCAGTTTCTCACTGATTAGCTCTCTCCACCGGGCTGCTTACCCATCCTCAGGACACGGCAAGGGCTTCTGGCAGAGGGAGGACGAGGGAGGGAGAGAGAGAGAGAGAGACAGAGCAGGAAGCTGTAATGCCCATGAATCACTTACTCTCCAAAGTCAAACACCATCATTTCTTCGTTGTACTAGTTGTTAGAAGCTAGCCACTAGGTCCAGCCCACATTCGAGAGGAGAGGAATTAGGCTTCATCTTTTGAAAGGAGTGTCAAAGAATTTGACATTTTAAATCACCGCAGTGCAACCAGCCCAGAGATGACTCAGCCAGTTTGCCCTCACTAGATCTAGAGGGCTCACGTCAACACACCCTTGCTAGGTATTTACGGTGCATTCCTAGCGCTAATGTTTAAGACAGATCTGAATGCCACACAACTAAAATAAGTTGAAGGATCAATTTGTGATGAAAATATAGACAATTCTGCCTCTTTAGAAAGTAAGATCTGGTATATTCGTATACTTTCAGATATGAGCCTGTGTGGATGGCCGCCCAGTTCACTCAGAGAATATCTCCAGCGTTATTTTGTTTTATCAGCATAACCAGCTGAACTCATTGGAGTGTCTCTAGCCTAGCCAAGCCTAGTCCTGAGAGCTGGGGTTGCAGATGGTGTATGTTAGGGTCAAAGTGGGCTGGTAAAGGAAGAGGACACAGAGTAGGTCTGAAAACAGTGTTCTGGGCAGTCATTCTGAAATGAACCACTCTACAAAGGTTTACCTGAAGGATTGATATTTAAACACATCAGTCATTAGATGTCTTTATATTTAATAGGTTTCAATTTCATAGGACTGCTTACTACCATAGGTTGTGTGCTTTGAGGGGACAGGGAAGAAACGGCTATAATGTGGACTTTACTTGAAGCTGCACCACTCAACCAACTCCATTCTGTTGTTTCGAAACCAACAAAAAGCATGGTGAAGAGAAGGCATCTGGTAGATGTTGGCTGAATTTTTTAAAAAAATAACTGGCTAGGGTGGCAAAGCATCACTCCTGGCCAGTGGAGAACTTGCCATCTTTGCCTGGCACCACCTTCTCCCTGATCCCAATCAGCAGGTACTCCTTCCTCCCAGGCCTCTGCACAGGAATCATGCAGACTGGAACCCAACCCATGCACTAAAAAGATTCTGGAAGGTTCACTTCTAATATTCCCATTTTCTCACCATGTAGCAGAAGAGGAGATGCACACAAACCCCCAAATAAAATGGTGAATTCTTTTACTAGCAGTAATCTACTGAACAGAACTCTTTTAAAATACATTTTTCCAGTGCCACATTACAGTGATAATTAATGTTCACAATGATGACCTTGATGGTCTCTTAAGAGTCTGAGGAGCCTAATGAATAATTAAGAGAATAAAATGGTTTTCAATAGGATTTCATGCTTAGTGCTTTTTGTATTCTAATACTTTTGATAGATTGTCACGGTTAATTGTCTAATTTCCCAGTTATGCGAGTAAACAGAGGATTTAATGCATTTCAAGGGGACTGCCATGGTAAGTTATTTGCGAGCATATTAAACCAAAATCTGAAGTGCATTACAAATCCTCAGCCAATGCTAGCATAGACACAGGCTGCCACATGAATTGCAGCTATAGGGAGATGTAGATAGCTGGAATCACTCAGAACTTAACCTTTTCCTTCTAGAGAGAAAAATAAAGTAATTGTTGGAACTATGGGTAATTATACATAAAATTATATGCCAAAATATTGTTCTTATAATTGAGAATGCATTTGTTGCTCTTATTCATTGTCATAAGTTAAAAAAATTTGACACAAGATTGATACCAAAAAATTATCTGGGTTGGGGATTCCTTTCCTATTCCTGATGCCACCTCATGCTATAATAAACCTTCACTCCTGTCTCTTTCTTGCTGCCCCTGTTATGGTAGACATATGACTCTACTTGAAGAAAATTCCAAATCACTGTTTATAGTGGAAGAAAAATCCAATACCTATATTTGGCAGTTGAAAGACCAAGATCCCAAAAGGTGATATGACTTACACAAAGCCACATAGCAAGTTATAGAGCCCCAGGGAGAACCTGTATTTCCCAATTCCCAAGCAAAGGCCTTTGTGCAACATCCTTGGCCACACCAAGCCAATAATTGCTAATGAAAGCTCTCCACCTATTACAGCCAGAGAAACTGCAAAAAGAATTGGGAAATGATATTTCAATAAATGCATCTCACTTAGAAGGTTGAAGTACCATATATTCTATCAAAAATGTCTGAATTGAAAGAATTTAAGTCACTTTAAGTGGAAAATTAGAGCACACATGATATTGTCTATTTTTAGAATCTGTGTGTCTCAGGAACAAGCATTTTAGTAATTTAAATATTTTCATGGGTGTTCCTCCAAATTTTGTTTCATTTTCAGAATGGAGGCCATGTCATCAAGAAAGCACGGGCAGCTCAAGCTCATTCTACAGGAAATTATGCCGGATGCAGGAATAGGGATTGCTTGGTGTAGTAATTAAATCCTTACCACCGACCTACCCACCCACATACACAGACATACACGCAGCTGAACAATTTGAAAATAAATTGTAGGCTCATGACATTTCATTCCTAAATATTTCAATATGCATTTCACAATAAGAACATTCTCCTTATTGGTGAGAAGTGATATTTAGATGCCAAGATCAAGGGACAAGGTATGTTCATTGACACAAGGGTATCATTGCTTCAAAGCTCTTTCGGTGGACAGATCCAGAAAAGACAAATACGCTTTTAAAAAATTATTTCATGTGAATTTCTCAACTCAAATTTAACCTTACAGTGTTTTAAGTTTTTTGATTTAATATTTGTTTTTGTCTCTTTTCTGTTACACTGAAAGTTTTCGTTTGTAATAATACAGTGTTTCTTTTCTCTGAATTCAAAATTATATACTTGTATTCTCCTAGTTCATAATTATAAACAATTAATTAATAGATTCACCTGGGCGCGGTGGCTCACACCTGTACTCCCAGCACTTTGGGAGGCCGAGGCGGGTGGATCACGAGGTCAAGAGATTGAGACCATCCTGGTCAACATGGTGAAACCCCGTCTCTACTAAAAAATAAATAAAAAATTAGCTGGGCATGGTGGCACGTGCCTGTAATCCCAGCTACTCAGGAGGCCGAGGCAGGAGAATTGCCTGAACCCAGGAGGCAGAGGTTGCGGTGAGCTGAGATGGCGCCATTGCACTCCAGCCTGGGTAACTAGAGCGAAACTCTGTCTCAAAAAAAAAAAAAAAAAAAATTAGCCAGACGTGGTGTCGCATGGAGCTGTAGTCCCAGCTACTCAAGAGGCTGAGGCAGAAGAACCACTTGAACCCAGGAGGTGGAGGTTGCAGTGAGCAGAGATCGTGCCACTGCACTCCAGCCTGGGCAAGAGAGTAAGACTCTGTATAGCTGTTGTTGCCACATTTAAAATAAAGTAAGGCTCATTGGTCCCAATTAGTTTTCCATTTTAGGATTTTACTTTTGTCTCTTTTATTTGAGTTTTTAAATAAATAAAATATTATGTGGTCCCAAAGTTAAAAACTATATGAAAAGGTAACCAAACTCACAGAAGTTTCACTCCTAACCCTCTCCCTTCACTTCATTCCCCCCACCCCCTAGAGGTAATTATTTTTATTGCTTCTTTTTGCAATATAAGCAAATACCCAAATATATTCTTATTCCTCCCTTTTCCACCTTATACACGAAACATAGCACACTCTAAGTACTGCTATGTACTAACTTTTTAAATCTAAAAATATACTCTGGAGATTATTTCAATTCACACTTTTTTTTCTGTGTTTTATGATGTCTAGTCTCCAATTCATGTAGGTAGTGCAATCTATTTACTGCTTCTCTTGTTGGTGGATATTTAGATTACTTATACTCTTTTGCTACTGCAAACAGTGTTGTGTTACATAACCTTGTGCAAATGTTATTGATTATTTGTAGAGATGTATTTTCAGGGTAGATTCCTAGAAGTGGAATTGCTGGGTGAAAGGCTGATGCATATGTAATTTTGTTCAATTTTGCCAAATACCAATCTCTAGGATTTGTTCCATTTTGCATTTCACTCTCAGTAGAGTACGTTATAAAATGTTTGTATCCAGAAGAATTCTAACTTGCATTTCTCTTATTGTAAGGGAAACTGAGCATCATTACGTATGTGTAGGGAGTGACTTGCATTTCTTTTTCTCTCCGTTCTCACATTTCTCTCTGTTCATGACTTTTGCCCATATTTCTTTCCAGTTCTGGGGCTTTTCCATTGTTAAAAGCTTTTCATGTATTTGTCCTCATCTTTTCATCTTTTTTTTTTTTTTTGAGACAGAGTTTTGCTCTTGTTGCCCAGGCTGGAGTGCAATGGCTTGATCTCAGCTCACCACAACCTCTGCCTCCCGGGTTCAAGCGATTCTCCTGCCTCAGCCTCCCTAGTAGCTGGGATTACAGGAACATGCCACCATTCCCGGCTAATTTTGTATTTTTAGTAGAGATGAGGTTTCTCCATGTTGTTCAGGCTGGTCTTGAACTCCTGACCTCAGGTGATCTGTCCACCTTGGCCTCCCAAAGTGCTGGGATTACAGGCATGAGCCACCGCCGAGATAACTTGCAATTAATCTCTCCTAGTGTGTCATTTGTTTTTTGACTTTGCTTCTGGGATTTTGTTTGTTTTAGGTAGTAAAGTTCACCAATCTTTTCCTGTTTTTTTTTTTTTTGTTTTTTTTTTTGTGCTGAATGTTGAAAGGCTTTCCTCACTCCCAGGTTATAAAGTAATTCACCTGTGCCAAACTTCCTTGGTTGCACGTTGTACATTTGGATCTCTGGTCCATTTAGGATTTATTTTATTGTGAGATTTAGATTCACATCATCCTATTTAAGGTTGCAATTTGTCTCCACACCATGTATTTAAAAGCCCAGTTTTTCCTCAGATAGGAATAACTTGATTTCGTTTTAAACTTTAACTTGATGTAATGCAGCACACAGAGACTAAGGAGCAAACATGGGGGAGCCAGACAGGGAGGGGAGTTAGAAATGAGATCAAGGAA